GTAATTAGTCTTTACATTTTAGACGTATTCATTATATTTTAACTCAGAATACCCTCGACAATTAAAACCTTTTGTGTACATTCAACTCTGGATTTTTATGGAAATAATCATAAACGGGCGAGAACTCAGATTCTTTTTATTCCTATTATTTAACCTTTCGAGAAAAACTTCTTTACTCTCTCAATGTCTCAACGCATTATATAATTTTGTTAATAATAAATATATTTTTTTGTTTGACACTGAAATCTGATGTGAACCACTTGAATACTGCTGTTTAAAAGCTTATTGCCACTATTTAATTTTTAATAAATTTTCATTATTTCGTTGATGCGAACCTTTTTTTGTCACTTTATAAATTATGCCACGCAATTCCCTCTTTTTTGTGTGTTGTTACACTTTTCTTTTTCTTTTTTTTTATGCAAGTGAAAGCCCAATGACAAGGTATACTACATTTTTAGAGCTGGTTAGTACCTGGGACCTGTATAATATAATACATCCATTATTTAATTAAAATAAGCGGCGAATAATATCATTTTTATAATATTCATTATTTTCCTAGTAGATTTAATAATATCATTGTGACATAATATTGATTAGTTTTGTATACTTTCAAAAATAAAGTTTCACGTTTAAATTAAATCGTAGCCCGAAGGTTTTTTTTTCTTTTATCTATTACATACTAAAGATAGTCCACACAATTGGTGGAAATTCAATCAAAATCATCTCGCTATCTTTTACAACTCGTATTTCATATAAGTATTTAGGTTTTAAAAACATTTCATATGCAATAATATCTTAGATATATCTAATATTATCTGTAGTTATTCCTAAAAATATTATATAAATATGGGGTACTTATACAGGAATTGTGTAATTCGTTGTAAAATAAGTTAAAAACTAAAATTCTATATATTTTTTTTGAGAAGAGAACTTTTTTTTGTGTTTTGCTTTTAGTTGGGACTTAAGAAAAGATAATTTTTTGGGAATTTTCATTAATATTCGATATAATTAGGAAAAGCTGATTGTTTTGGTAAAAAAAATTAAAATTAAGGTTGTCACTGTCTTCCGTTTTTATTTATTTTTTGTTATTATTGTTATTTCAATCTTTTCGAAACAATCGTTGTTGTGAAGACGCGCATTCTTGAAAAAGCAATCCGGGCTCCGTTCAGAATCGTTGGTCGTTAGCAATGATTAATCATTGCGTACATATACAAATCAAATTTATCTCTATAATACACTATATTTTTAGCTGTTCATCTACAACAGTGGCTCACTCGTGGTGCGAAATATGTCCGTTCATATTTTAATTTTTTTTGTAAAGCAATAATATAAAATATAAAATTATAGCGCGGAGTTCTAGTAATTATAAAAATAAAACTTATAAATATTCAATAGAAAAAAGTTATTACTTTTTTAAGTTCTATTACACCCTGTAATATACCTATACATATTTTAAACGTCAATTTGACAGATTTTCAACTCTCGTTGTAGAGAAATCACAAGCAGAATTAATAATAAATTAATAATGGCACAATAACGCCACAAGGAAAATGTTTACAACTATAATACAGTTTTTATAAGAACAAAAACGTTATAACGAGAAAACGTTATAGTTATGTTTCAATTTTGCAAGAGGAAACATTGTTAATAATGAATACCTATGTATATATACATATGTGTGTGTGTTTGTGTGTGTGTGTGTGTGTGTGTGTGTGTGTGTATACCTATAGTATATACATGATAGTTTATATATCTCCCCTAAACCCGAGATAATAAATGTTCCATGATCTACTAAAAAATTAATAAGTAATTTCATTTTAGCGGGTATATTATTTTCGTTTAAACGAAATTATGTACTTATTTACGTGTACATTTTGTTCGGTTCTGTATTTTAAAATTACGGATAACACGCGTCTTTACTTCAAAACAGGTAAAGTTAGCAAAAATTCTAACACAATAAAAGGACAAAAAAAAAAAATGATGTACATACTTAGTAATGTTATTCTGCCGAATCCTATACATTGTTACTAGGTACGAGTTTTTTCTTCTTTTAAAGCAATTTGTCACTATGTCAAGAAGCTAACGGGTATTATGAATAAAACATTTTTTTTTTCCCGTCACTATAAAATTACCTAATGTTACCCACTGTTACACTGTTTATACCATTGACAATAAGTATAATAAGTAGATAGTAGGTACCCACTAAAACCACTCGTAGTTTTCAACGAAAAACTTTACTTTAAATCCATTGCTGCTCGTACCTGTACGGCTGTACGTAGTGAAAATTATTACCACTTGGAAAATTTGTCGGTAATAGATTTTTTTTTTTTTTTTACGAGATCTATGATAAACCCATATATTTTTATTACATGATATAGAACAGACAATGACATAAAATATACGGGAAAATAATTTTATCGTTATGTTTCAATACCGCATCACATAACGTCGTCAAAATAACATCACTATAAAATATCACTTCCGCATATGATAATATTTGATTTCGGGGATTCCATGTTTTACAAACCTGCAGTCAAACACACATAATATCTAATTAGTTTTTATAGTACATTTCCGATGTCTCGACCCAGGTCACATCACCAAGTCACGTGCTTTCCAATAACATAAAATTTCGTATATGTATAATTTATGTAAAATGCTAACTACACCTATCTAAGGGCTATGTGCTTTTTCAAAAATATACATGACATATTATAATAAAAAAAAAAAATAGGCATTATATATTTTTTTTGAAATATATATTTGTTTATAATTGTACCGATTTTCCAGTTTTTCCAATGTTTTTTCCGGCTTTTCACGTTTGTTGGAAAAACTCTTAAGAAAATCGAAAAATGATTTCTTTAAAGTACCTTCTCAGACCATTTCCTCTAAGAAAAAGTGCTACCATTGTAAATCGGAGCAAAAGAGCTGTACACAGAAAAATAGAAGGCTGCAATATTTTTTAACTAATTCCTATATTTTGTACATTTTACCGTTTTTCCGAAATTTTATCCCAGTTTTTCACAGATACTATGAAAAACCATTCGAATAATCAAAAATCACCTCATTCAAATACCATGTAGATAAATTTCCTGTCAGAAAATAAGTTCCACTTGATAAATCAGAGTAAGATTTAATGAACCTCCTGTTTAATTATCACGCATTTCTGTTTAATCTAACAGTTTTACCACACAGTACCTACTGAATAAAAATTATATATAAAACTAGCAAAATTAAAATACCTATAAATAGCTCAAAAATGGCTTAATTTTTCTGAAAATTTTACCATATTTAGGAAAATTATTAACATTTACTGAAACTCTTAGGATTCAACTATGGCATGTAAAAGTATCTTATTAATAGTGTTTCGAATGTAATGAATTAGTTGTACAATGTGTATTCAGGTTTAATAATAGCTATTATTTTAACATTTTTTTTTTTTTTTTTATAATTTCATAAGTTACATAATTTCATAATTACACATTAGTACATATTACGATATTCTATAATGCAATATTTAATTCATATAATATTTTTGTTTGAATGTATGCGATTATTAATACAAAAAGTGAATTCTTTTTCTTTTATTTTTTTAGTTAATAATTGTATAATGAATAGCATATAAAGGTACACAATATTTTACACAATATTTAGACATAGTAATATAGTGATGAATGAAATGTCTGTTAGGATGTGTGTGTATGTTATTTATTCTGTACAATTTGTTTAAAAAAAATTAAATATTTATATGTTTATATATATTTATATTATAGTTGTTACAGAAAAGGTTCAAAATAATTGTAATGTCCGCAATTTAACCGAAAAAACACGGACAGAGAATAATTTTTAGTAAGTAATATTGAGAAAATAAATTTTTTTTGATCCTGCTTTGAGGTTTACTATTCATTAGGAATTATTATCACGAACAGGCTTTTGTTTTTGGAATCTGTTGGATGATGGTGATTTTGAGTCTAAACGAAGGCATTCGTATAATCTACGACTAAATTTTAAAATATGCATAAAAAAATGTTAAATATGCAAAAAATTATTCAGTTTATTATTAAAAAACATATAATGTCATCACATTAATATGCATAAAAAAGATAAAGATTAAATACAAATCGTACTGTTGTCGTTAAATTAATAATAGACTGAGACGGTAATAAATAACAATAAATAACTACGTTAAATAATATTAAGTTTTAAATTTATTATTGTTTAAAATAAATTGGTTAAGAAAGAATAGAAAAATCAATGAAAATCGACGAAATATGCACTTGTTCTCCAAAATTAACCTAATATGTAAACTGTGCATTTAAATGTTCAATTTTCAAACTCACCGTCGTATAAAAAGTATTTTTAGCTTGGTCTGCTGTAAATTCAGTGCGTACAGAAAAATACGATATTGATAACCTATTGATAACCAAAAAACTAAAATTATAAAAATATATCTATATGTATATATATTATTTATATCTTTACATTCCTAAACATTTTAGTTATTATAAAATGAATATAAATAATGCAGAAAAACAATTGACAATCATAAGTTCGTGGTTCGATAAGTACAAAGAGTAAATTTTATTTGAAAATTCACCCCCATTGAATAATCACTGAATCCGCTACTAATTATGTTTTGAATTATTCAGGCAGCTCAGACATTGCTACGCGTCAGGTTATAATTAGGGAAAGTAATACTAACACAGTTCCCGTTCGTGCTGGCGGTCTTAATAAAAACAATGTATAATCATGCATGAACATAAGGCAGCTCATCAAACGGGGCGTATTCCATAAATATCCCTATTAAAATGTAATTTAAACTCATTTAATTTTCAATCTAACCCAAACCAATCTATTATCTTTTTTACCTTATCTACATTATATGTTTCGTTAGACAAAACTGCTGGCGGTATTAGTTTTTTCAAAATTAAATGCGATCATATTGTTATTATAATTCTCTGAACCACAGGCGGTTTTTTTTTTTTTTTTTGTAAAAATCCAATTCTATCTGATTGTGTAGTTTCTATACAGTCACGCGAAAAATATTTATCTTTTTAAATACTTAAATATTTTTCGTGTGACTGTATAGAAACTACACAATCAATTTTATTATCTTTTTAAATACTTAATAAAATATTTATTTTTTTGTATGTTGACAGGAAAATGAAGACTATGCCATTTCTCGTGGCCCGGGCAATACTTTTGACACTGCTGTTGTTGCCATTCGTCCCTTCGTCGCACAGGTTCGTAAAAAAAAAGTTTCGTAACCGTTTATAATGTATAAAGACAAGTGAGAGACTATTACTTCATTTTTTTTTTTTTTAAACTGGTAACGACCTTTAAGACGACCCCTCCGACATTGTTCTGTGAGATATGTTTTTTTTTTTTTTTTTAATATTGTTGTGTTGTTAACTTTACGATAGGATTTGTTTACCTTTACACCATTGTTGCGAGCTGAATTGTTTCAGGTGAACTTATAGCTGAGTCAAATACTAATAATTTTTACAAGTTCACTTTTTCAAAATAATACAAGCACTTTTCCTAGTAGTACAAAACAAATTGACGCTAAGGTGTCCACAGATATTGACTCTAAACTCGTCGGAAAAGGCGTTATTGGCCGCTCTTATTTATGTGTTGGAATCCTCAATTGAAAAATATTTACTATGTCTGCTCTTGTCCTAATGTGCTTGTATAATCACGATTTCGAGTAGTTTGTACTCACAATGTGGGGAAATACGTGAGGACATTTTTCTAATTGTACCTGTAACTCAGATCTCGTCCAAACGGCGTGTATAAAACAGATTTTCAGTCGGTAATACAGAAGATCAACTTGTGTATTGTGCACGTAGACAGCTAGCAAAGTATAGATATATACTAGCTATTCTGTTTTTTTAGGCAAGATACAGCGCTTGCAACACCACTATAATTCCGTATGATAATTTAAAACAAATTAAATACATCCCACTTACCGTCGTTGGTTTGTTATTTTATTATCTCAGTGAAAATTTGAATAATAATGTGAAATAATAGCGTTACTATAATTATTATTTTTAAATCGGAATACTTCTATGAGATTATATTTGTATAGTAAATTTGTAGATGATAATAATCACCTAAAAAATGGCGTTGATAAAAAAGTAGTGTTTAATTTCTCAAACAAACAACAAATTAAATTTCTTCTCAAACAAATTCATCGAAAAAAAAAAAAAAATTTTTACTGAAACAAGATGTATCTATTTAAAAAAAAACAATAATAATAATTTACTTAAAATGACTTAGTTGAAATAATAGGAAAAATACTTACAGTAATCTACAAGATATACTTAGATATTTGATATCTCGAGACAGGCAACAAAATATAAAAAACGGAGTGTATAAATAAAAAAACGAGAAGTTTCTCCCACGAATAAATTGTCGGCAAAACTATAGTATTAAAAAAAACACAATTTTCGTCAGTCTATAAATTTTGAACTTCTACATTAACGTACATGCATTATTAAAAAAGTTTTTCTTGCACTATTCCTGTTCAGCAGTGATCAAGTGTTCGTTTCGGTGATTTACGGACACGACCAGGGATCGTTGATGTCGAGGACTATGGACAGAGCGATGCCGCCGTCGGTGCGCGTACTGTACGCCGAACTGCCAGCTAACCGGTTCAGCATGGGTGCACTGGAGGCCGTACTCGACCTATGGGCAAACAAGACGATCGTCGCGTGCCTACTGCTGATACCCGAGCCCATTGGATTGTTACCTGCACTCACAGCAACCAAATACAGGATACCGGTACTATGGTTGCCGTCAGTGTCTCGTGTGGACCAGGTAAGTTATGCGAATTTGAATAAACAATAGTTAAAAATATTATTACTATGTTATTATATATGATTTGAAATTGGTGTTAGCAATTTGTTTTCAACACTATGTTAATTCTATTCATTGTATGTTCAAAGTCATGATTTTTTCAAAATCGTTTAAAAATGTACACATTTCAAATATAAATGAAATCGATTTAAAAAAAAAAAAAAATTCAAAAATTGTCTTCCAACAAACTTTTTGTTTTTGTGTTTATTTTGGTACAAAAATCATGTTTCTACGATCAACAATACCTGAGAACTTCTGGAACTACGAAACAATGTTTTTGACGAATTTACAGCCGTCGTGTGCTGCTTCAGTGGCAGTATTCTAAAACCGTACACTCTCTCCACCTCGCACGCATAAGCATCGAGGTTTTTATTATCGCCACATAAAAAATTTAATAATAAAATTACATAACAGTAATAATATTTCCATGAATATTATTTTATTTGTTAGGATTATAATAATTCATAATACTTGTTCCCACTGTACCGTATTTAACACTGTGAAATCATATATCGTAAAGTTGTCAAAAATCAGTTAGAACACTGTCAAATTTTCAAGCATTTTTGTTATGTCTAACAGAAAACCTAAATCATCAAAATTACGTAAAAAACTCACAAAATTAAAATGTCTATAAATAGTTCAAAACATCCAAGTTGTAGATGGAGGTTATTATTCCAAAATTTTAGAATTAGGTAGTACTAGATGTTCAGAGGTTCACCAAAAACTATCTTTCACTTTTCCAATCAGAGGAGTAATAACAGATTTAAAAATAATTGACACAATTATTATTTGTATTCGTGCAAAAGCACAACTTTTAAATCAAGCAGAGTACTGTGGCAAGATGTCATACAAGCTAAATTTAAAATATTATTATCAGAAGGTACAAGTATAGCAAATAGCAAAGATACTTATACTTCCAACAGGCACAAAAATGAAATTGTCAAAAAACTACGGTACTGATTCATTTAAAGGAGAAATAATATGGACAAATAACCATTTAAATTGTAAAGTACAAGATTTTAATGTTTTAAATGATGATTCAGCATCGTTAACAATATCAAACACTGTTAATAATTTTTCAAAACACTGATTTATTAGCTTTTTTCAACACTAAATTTATTTATATTGAAAAATTCTTTAAATCAATAATAACGGCATTGGGTAATGACATAATTAAAAAACAATGTGGTCTCTAACAAAAAATACTAGAACAAAAAGCTTACATTAGCCTTTTCGAGTATTTCAAACTTTGCGTATTTTATGGGTGGAAGACTACATTTTATAGTTGTTAAAACGGATGAAATAATTTACTTAATTAAATGTAAAAAGTAAATGTCGAAGTTTCAAAAAAAAAATTATGCTTTTATGAAATACCGGATTGTTTAATAATAAAACATTTTTCATGGCCCCAAAAACGCATATATTGCAAAAATTTGGAACTCAAATAGAATGTAACTATGTTACTTCCGCATGGCTTCAATTTGGACGGAGATTGTTTAATTTTATACCAAACATACAAAAAATAAAAAAAACACATACTACTTAAACCATATACTACCTGGACATAGTCATACAAAATTCCAGAATTTTTTTATGGATGCTGGTATATATACACATGAAATAATAAAAGCATTTCAACAACACATATTGTTCCCGAAAGAAGTCAATGTTGCTTTAGTATCCGTGATTAGTGAAATTAATGTGCTAAAAAAACAGCTTGGAAATTGTTATAGATTAACATGAATTTATTATTCATCTTAAATTATTATTATTATTTTCAAAATAATGGAAATTTAGAATTTTAGAGTTGCTCGTTTTTTTTAAATTATTGTACAAATATTTTTTTGAAAACAGTTATTATTTTAAAAAATAATGAGTGTTTTATATTAAAACAATATATAACTATATATTGTTATAATATGATATTTTTACAAAGATATTTTGGCGTAATATAATTAATAGGCGAAAATAAAAATATACAGGATAAACTTTATTTTATGACGGTCAGTTGGACGTGCACACTTCAAATTCACTTTTTGCGCCGTTAAAATGTTTTTACGATTGTGTCACCAGCACAATGCCGTCACTAAGCTTTTGTCACAGAGATAATAATGCAGCACAATTAATAACAACACGTTTTTTTTGGAGGTGGGTATACCTACTTACTGTTCGTCTAAATGACAAAAGTGAAAAACATCATAACAATTAAATAAGTCGAAAAAAATAATATTTCCATTGAGTATTAAACTCGTTTATGCAGTTAACCCACAAATATTTACTGTTCCTAAGTATCAGCTACTTTTATCAATGATGTTTACGGTTACTTCGATGTATTTTATTTTTTAATTTATGTATATTTTCTTGAAATCAGTTTATAAAACGTTTATATGACTCAATTTCACAGAGTTTTAATTAATATTCTAGCTGGTAGACTTTACTATAGTTTAGCCACTCACACTTATCATAGATAAGTCAGTTTTGAAACTAGGGAAAAAATACACGGCTGAGAAAAAACATCCCTGAAGAACAATGACATACTTCGATAAAAAATAGCCATTATCATATATTAATATTACATTGTAATTTCCATTAACTATATTCATATAGTTATTATATGGATACAAAATGCGTTCATTTGACATTGTCGAAATGTTAAACAGACAATATTCTATAAATTATCTCATCTCGAGTTGGTGTTAAGTATTTTTGACAAAGTAAGAGATGCAGACTAAAATTTAAAATAAGTTCAGCAATATGTATAGGAATGTTTTTCGATCGTTAACTCTACTAACAATCCCAACAAATTTTACAAAATTGAATATCTACTAATATCTATATTTATTTATACTTGTATTATGTTATATTTTATGTGACAAGTGCAATTTGTACAGTTTTTAAATATCGAAAACAACTGCAGGGACAGCACTGGACAACAACCGACGAAACTAACAAATTATTGGATATTAATAATTGTTCTACTATGGTATTAGGAAGCTAGGGATCTCGTACCTATCGCCGGTGCCATCGCGTACTTCTGAAACGCCAAACTGAGAAGTCGACAAGAAAAATATTTAATTACAACTCTTCGGAAATGTGCGATGAACACGGAGGGGAAATTAATGTTAAAATAAAAGTCTCGCTGAGCTGGCTAGCAAGTAATAGTTGTAATTGTCCAGAGCATTTTTGAGTGTGGACACTGAACATCGGACGTTTGAAGTTTCCGTTTCTCCCTAGTCTGTTGTTCGTCAAATTCGCTGG